ACATTCAACAAAGCAAAACATCAGCAACGCGCGCGACACCTGAAGCAAACAAAAGATATTTACAACGACCACCCAATGACAGAGAACTGAATTGTAACAACGCAATTAAAACAGTTTACAAAATGTTCTCAACAACACAATATAACAACACAACACCGCGCAACAGAACAATGAACAACACATTTTATTGATTATAACAACAGCATAAAGACACACAACAACAGAGTATAAACAACACAAATCCACAGAACTTGACCCCCCAAAACCACATACAAACATCTTCACCCCAGTAACACATAAACATGTGAATACGTAACAACAGCAACAACGCAACATTACCAACAAACACATCAATAACAACACGATACAACAGCCCAACAAAAGAATCCTTTCAGAAGACGGGGTCTCGGAGAAGATGATAAGCAACAGGAGACTTTTAAATTTCTAAGCACAAAATTTAACTCAATCGTAAACACGCAGCAGGAATCACGCGTGTCCAAAAAACTCACACAGACACACACACATAAGCAAACAAGTACCCATTTGAAATTTGTCACACGCATAACGTTTTAAATGATAAATGTTGTGCCACATTCATTCGTGCTATAAAACCTTGAAAATAAGAAATGTTTTTTCATAAATGCATTTATTACCATTCGTTAGATTTTGACCTAAATTTTGTTCAAAAATTATAATTCAATTTCGAGAAGTTGTATTTTATTTTGTGTGAAAGAACACAGAAATATATACTAGAAATGGTTGAAATTTTTCATTTTATACAAAGTAACTTATCAATATGAAAATGAAAATGAAAATTTAAACGAAAGAAGCAGTAATAAACAGGCGACAGCAACCGCATCAGCAGCAGCACATGTAGCCCCATCCACCTTATGAAATCATCGCAAACCTCCAATTACTACTCACTGAAGAATTGAAAAAAGTCACGTCATCTATGAATTTAAACGCCCGATTGATGAGTAGACGCTTCAAAGCAATTCTCCTACCTGGCATGTGATCAAATGTAATTTAAAAGTGTATGACGGTACCCGGGTTCAAATACAGACGCATCCAAATCAACTGCTATCAAACGCAGGACATCATACGCATGCCTTAGCACTTTTTTTTAAACTCAAAACCTTCAATTGACTCTTCTTAATAAGCATCCCCATGTAACCATCTTGCTAACAATAGCACCGAAGTTTTTTTAACTACCCTGCTTTCGCTTTTTTAACATTAACAATATTTTAAAAATCGGTTGACATGATTTAATTAAAAAGTTTTTATACTAATAAAGTTTTGCATCGCAAAATGCTGTCGAAATAAAATTTTCAGTAATTGACTTCACAGATAATTTGTCCATTATACAAAAATTATAATAAATTTTTTAAACATTTTTGACCAAATCTTAACTGTATTTTATTTTTTGATCAAATTATCTTTTCAGTGGTTACCATCAAAAATAATTAAATAATTCGAAATGTTGTTCCCTTGATCTGTTTGAATCAGAATCTAATATTCTACGCATCATAAATTCATATAAGTAGATTTATCACTTACATAACTTAAAATTTGAGGAAAATGCCTACAAAGAAAACGTAAAAAATAAAATAAAAAGATGATTTGGAACGAAAACATTTTTCGCTGTAAAACAAATGTTTACTTTTGTGAATATTTAAATCAAGGAAGCGTCAATCATAGGCATTGCACGGAACCTTCCATGTGGACCAACCAGCCAAACCAACCTGTCGACCACCATCTTCAAACCTAATCACTAACTCGGAAATTCTAATTTTTCAATTCTTATATTTTCAGTGAAATGAAGCCCAAACAAATTTTCCGATTGCTGTTGAAAGTAATGTTTGTGATTGAGTTACTATGGTTATGGGTTGGTTAAATTAGGTAATTTAGTATTGTAACAAAATTTTACGACGAAATAAATCTTTTTGGTAAAAGGATGGTTAAAATTGCAGACTGCATGAGGCAAAATTATGAAGAAAACATCATTCATTAATGCATTGAAGCCATGATTCTTAAATCACATCAAAATTTGTTTGATTCCCTTTAAAATATAATTGCATTGCTAATTTTTCACATCTTTATTGCCATTTCATTTTAACTATTCAAAATATTTTTACAAGAAACAACCATTTAACATGACACAGTTAACTTTTGACTGAATTTTGTTGGTTATAAGAATAAAACTTTATTTTTAGAAGCGTTTGAAAAAAACATATGTAATTATTACATATATTATTTATAGATAAATGAAATGTTTAAATCTGAAATTAATAATTAATTAAATAAAATATGACTAGCCGATTTGACGTTGGGTAAAATAACGAAAACCAACAACACGAAAATATTATAT